AGACCTACTCTATTTGGGCTAGTAGCTGTAAAAACAAGACAGAGTGCAATGAGCTACATCCTTCTGTTTCTGTCGTGCAGGTAATTATTAGTCCTTTTGAGTACAGTGATAGAATCTAGTCTGTTCTTACTTGAGTTCTTTTAAAAATTGTTTTTAAGTATATTTGTGCTTTTGCATGGAATGTCAGATATTGATCTTCATTCCCGTGTCTGAAAGTGAAAAAGAATTTAACATTAGTCAGTTTTTCATTGCCTGTAAGCACTGAAATTGCACACTGATTGTGGTTTTGATTTATCTGGATGTCTTTAGTGTAGGTCTCATATGTGCCATTTAGGTCCAGTCCCAACTTTTGCCTACTTGCGTAGCAGTGGAAAACAAGTGGAAGAGAAGAAGGGTGTAGAAAAGCAGGAGTGTTTGGGAGGTATTGGTGGAGAAATCAGCCTGTGGGATCCTGTAGTCACTTCCAGACAGAGAGTGGCCACAAGGCCACATGTGGTTTTCTTAAATATAGATGTTCCTCTTGCTGTGTCCCCTGCCCCACTATATCCCAGCTGTCTCATTCTGTGCCCTGTTTCTTTTCTCATTAAGTTGTCCTGCTCTTTTGAGGGGCAGCAAGAGAGACTTAATTTTTTAATATTATTTTGTCCATCTTGACACCTTCTTTTTAAAAATTGAGGGTTAACTCAGATTTGAGGCCACCTTCATTCTAGGCTGGCATGGTGTAACATGTTTTGTGGCCATGCCTGGGAAACATGTAGTAACACCTGACAGCATCAAGGCCACAATTCTACTGGAGATGTAAATGTGACCTGCTATGCTGTAAGAATGGGTGTACAATATTTTTAGTTTCAATATCTACTTTGTTAAGTATAAATTGCATGAATTTTTGTTTGGTTTATATTTTTATTAGCTTTTAAAGAAATTTTAATGCAGGATGCATTTCACTTAGTGCAGTGAAAGTGGATGCACCTTTTATGTGTTTGTTTGGTTTATCATCCACAGTCACTTTCTTTGTTTTACCCTTTTTTATTTTTTTAAAAAATAAAGATTTTAGCTTTCATCCTCATCAGGAACATTCCCGGATATGTCCGATCTGTGTATAGCTCATTCTTCGCCTGGTTTGGCAAAATTTCCTTAGAGGTAAGTAAAACAACTGGAAGTACAGTGAATCAAAACTTAGAGAGGTGGTGTTATTGTCTAGATTGGACTATAACACATAGAGAAAACACTTATTGGATTGCTAAATGCCATGCTGTCATGTTTGACCTCTTTTAGCATTATAGCTTTTGTTGCACTTAAAAATCATGGCTGAAATAGCAGTCTCACAGGACCAAGCTTAATTCTTGTACTGTTTTAGGGGATGGGGTGATTTAAGGTTGTGAGAGTGGGGATTAAATGCTGGAGTGTGCTGTGAGGTATATGCAGTTGGAAGATAAGAATTTACACCGGTTGAAGAATTTGCATGAATTATGCTTACTAGTATAAGTACACTTATAAATGTGTTTGCTGTAGCAAGCTTTTTGTTAGCAAGACTAATAAAGAAATGTACCATTACAAATAAACCCCTTCTTAATGCAACTGTTACCTTGTTCCACTGAGTGTATATTTTGAAACAGTAGTAATTATCTTGCTTCCCCTTTTATTTGCTGTTTAGTGATACTAAATGTGGCATTGTACTGTATTACTAAAATATATTTCTAGGAGAAACTCATTGCAGTACAGTGTTTATAGAGTAAAGGATTTTGTGGGTTTTTTAAAGGATCACATTTCACTCTTCCAATTCCTGGTGGGCTTTAGGTGCTGTCAGCTCCAGGGAGCTGTGCACCCATCAGCAGGTGAAGCATTCTCCCTTATTTGCAGGCATGTCTGTTCAGACCCTCACCAGAGAGACAGTAACTGAGGGAGGCAGATTCTTCCCTGCTCTGATGGAGTGTATCCAGTATGCACTTGGTTAAGGGCCAAGAAAACCTATTTCACTATGTGATTCAACAAGCTCATGGTTTGTAGCAAAAACATGTAGAAAGCAGCTTTTAACTTAAGCAAAAGTGTGTCAGTTGATGCAATAGTAATAATTATATGTGGTTTAGTAAGTAAAATATTTATATATATAAGTATTGCTAAACACTTTTTTTTTTTCTTTTAGCTTTTCATTTGCCAATACCATATTTGGCTGGCAGCAGACACAAAGGGGATCTTGGTGCTCATTCCTGGATATCCAGTGTTTAATGTTCTTGTCAGCACTTTCATATTTGTGTGCGTGGCACATGAGATTTCTCAGATCACTAATGATCTTGCACAGATTGTGGTTCCTAAAGATAACTCGACTCTTATGAAAAGGATGCTATGCATAGCTGGATTTTTTTCTGGACTACACTTCTTCTCAGCAATGCAAGATCAGTCAAGGCATTGACTTGGAAACTTTCTTCAGGTTTACTTTGTGTCTGCCTGAAGAAAAATACTCAACTGGAGGTACAAGAAGACATTTAAATTAAGCGTGTGAAAAATGTATATAGTGGAAATGTACATATTTTGTGTGGAAATAGCCTTCTCAAATAATCTGAGAAACAAGAGTGCACTGTACAGAATTGCATGTGAAAATGAGTCTTTTCTACTGGATGTTTGTTGCTGTTTACATATCTGTTGAAAGGAGACATGAAGCAGTGCAGTGGTTGAGCAGTATCACGGGCACATGACGGGATTCAGCTGGCACTGGGCGAGCCCATGGCGAGGGGCCGTTCCAGCGCACACGGCACGGAGCACGCCCAGCACAGCCCGGAGCCTCCGGAACCACCGCCCGCGGCTGAGGCAGTGAGACCAGGGCATTGTTCTGAACAAAGTGCTAATTTGCTGGTTAGAAATTAGTGTTTGGGGTGGAAATATGTTATATGAAGCCCTTTAGATGTGGAAGTAAAAAGTAATCATCAATTCAGTGATTGAAGATTATATACAAGTTTACATAAAGTTTTATGAGGGGTTTTTTAGAAATTTAACATGTGTTCAGCAAATATGATGAATTCTGACACAAAATCTTTTTATGAAGAGAATTTGTGTTTTCTTCCTAAAATTGTTTGCTTTTTCATAAATTTTTCACTAGTTCATTTAACTGTGTGTAGTTCTGTGTATAATCCCAGTGAACAAACAAATGAATAATTTTCAGAGACTCAGTTCAAGATGGGAAATTTTTGGAAGACCCTCCAGGCTTTTTCAGTCAGATGGAATCCCATAATATCCCCTCCATTAGTTCTTAGGGGAACTGTGATCTTTGACAGTCTCCCTGTGTTTGTAGGTGACCTTGAATTAGGTCTCATTAGGGAACTGGTGCCATATTCTATGCTGTAATAACATTTTCATTTAAGAGGATGCTAGTCAGTCTGTTGGTATCATGAGCAGGAGGGATTGAGTGGTCAGCTTTGTTGCATGCAGATGGTTGAGTCTCAGAATTACAAGTGAAATGAGATTGGAGCTGTTTGGAGAAAACTTTTTTCTCATCCTTTTCAGCAGTGCCCAGTATTTCTTACTAATTTTTTCCTGTAGCAAAAACCCTATAATTGAAAGAAATAGTCCTTCAGTGTGGCAGAGACAAGCTGTTGTTTACATTCTACTTATCAGTGAAGTTATGGACATTTCTTGGTTGGTTGTGGGTTTGATTCAAGTAATAGTTTGGCTTCTTTGCTTTTTCATTTTATTCTTCTTATTATTTGTTAGCTGTCAAAAATATGAACACAATTTTCCAAACATATGTGCAATTATGTATGATTATAAACAACATCATCCTAATTTATACCATATATACTGTCACATGCATGTTTTTGTTCTTATCCCAGGTAAAACACTGAATTCAGTCTTGCAGCCATGAATGAATGCAAAACAAAGTTATGAAAATAATTAGTTCAATTTTTATTTTCTTGTGTGTGATGGAGAACAGTTTCTTTCAAAGAATGACCAGTCATTCATAATAAAAACAAAAAAGAAATCATTCACTTCCCCCAAATTCAGCAGTTTTACTAAGCCTGCCAGCTGTTTTCAAGATACTGGACAGATACTCAGCTGTTTGTTCTGTGTGCATATTGCTTCCAGTGCTTGGGAATTTAACCTCATCGATCAATACATTTGAGTGACCGAATGAAAGGGTGTAGGTGGACATTGTAGTGGGGGATAAGCAAGCATAACCTTCATCTATGCCAGTATTATGAGCAACAGGGAACTGTGAGCTTGAGGGATAATTTTTGTTTTGTTCTTCACAACATAACTATTGTAGATATAATTCTATTTATCTGTTGTACAGACTTGGTTAAAAGATTTATTTTTAATGTTCGAAATAATGCACTTGTTTACTTTTACTGTATGTGGGATAAATATATTTTCTTTTCAGGTTATGTAAAAATATGAAGTAATTTAAACATTAAATAAATGTGCTGTGGATGCTTATTTTTGTAATGGCAGCAGGATCATTTAAGTAAAAGCTCTCTCTTGCTTGTCTCTAGCTGTGCTGCAGTTCACTGTATCACAAACTAAGGCAGATGCAATGCAGGAAGACTGCTCTGCAGTAAATTGCACTGCTCTGATGAAATTACAGCTCGAGTAGCCAAAGCTCGGGGGCCCTCAGAAGAGCTCTGCAGCAGAGGCATCGGATACTTTTCCCTGCCAGGAACTCTGCAGCAGAGCTCTGCAGGAAAGCAGAGGAACTGACTTGGCTTTTCTTTCTTTGGTCTGGCAACATCAAGAAACCAAGCCCATCTTTAAGACTTGCTTGAGTTACAGAATTACTTGAGCTATTTAAATCCCACTCGCAGTAGAAGGGGATCCTTAAGCAAAGGAAGTACCAATCTCTTTAATCTTGTGAGCAATGACAAGAGACAAGGAAATGGCCTGAAATTGTGTCAGGAGGTTCAGGCTGGATATCTGGAAAAAGGTTCTTCACCCAGAGGGTGGTTGAACAGGCTCCCCTGGGAAGTGGTCACAGCACCAAAGCTGACAGAGTCCAGGAAGCATTGTGACAATGCTCTCAGGCACGTGCTGTGACCCTTGGGGATGGTCCTGTGCACGGCTGGGAGTTGGACTTGATGATCTTGATGAGTCCCTTCCCAACTCAGCATATTCTGTGCTCCCCAAAGCTCCTGATTTTATCAGCAAGGAGAATCACAGTTCAGGGGCCCACATTAGATATTAAGTGTGGCAAACCCTCTCCAGTGACGGCATCCAGTCAGGCATTATCCCCAGTTAAACAAATCCCACACCATTTCCTCTAGCCCAGGTCTCAGACCTGACCGTGCAGTATTGTGGCTGGAACATTATCAGCTGTAACAATGTTGTTTAGGCACCCTTTTGTAAAATAATCAGGCAACAACTTCACTACTTTGTGTTTTCTGTTTTATTAGATTATACATTTCATGTATGTACAAAGAGATGTGTAGGGCTTTCTGTTTAATTTGGTTGAAACTTAATACAATATCAATTCATATTGCCATCATATAATGTTAAAAGAGGCTGTGAATTTACTGTCTTAATTACTAATAATTCTTTAGCCATTGTCTTTAACCAGCTTTATAAATCTATGCTTTCAGAGTAATTGTTTAATAAGCAAAAATAAATAATTTGTTATTAAACTTACCTCAGATAAATGAAGATTTCAATCATAAAATAGTTCAGGTTCTTAATAGCCAACCTACATCATTAGGTTATTTTCAAAATAGGCGGAGCCTCCACTGCTACAAACAGATTCTTTATGCATGTATGTAACAGGTTATTTCCTTAAATATATCAGCACTGTTACATTAGTACAAATAAGGTGGGAGCAGCTCAGCTGGTAGATCCATTGATTGTCATGTCATCCTGGAGTTATCAGAAATTACTATGATGCACACCCAGAACTATTTACAAAGTTTAAATCCTACATTGCATTAAAAATCATTATTTAAAATCCACTCCATTCATTTTGGTTTCAAAACACTGACAGCTGATACATTTGAAAATAGTATAAACTAATAGAAGCTAAATGCTGATTGTACTTCAGTTTTTTTTTTTCAGCTTGGGTAAGAGATGAAAATGTTTAGTTTGCTATAAACCTCAGTGTGCAGTTTTGTGATTGGCTTTTCACTGATAACCATCCAAGCTGCTGGAAAGAAGGGGGGGTGCCTCTGAGGAGGCTGATTGACTGGTGAAGTCTCTTCCCTGGTATCTTTTGGATGAGGTAGGAAGGCATGATGGATGCCACTTGGAAAGTGAGTAGGAATGGCTCTTTATTCCACCTGTTTCGTGATCTGCCTTTAACTTCTCAGCTTGAATGGTCTAACAACCTGGTCGAACAACCACCAGCAGGATTTGCTGCCACATCTGGTGGGCTGTGCTGAGCATGCAGAGCAGCTTTGTAAACTGATTCTGGAGGTCTGACAATATACAAGTAGGTACCACATACTGAGCACTGCTTATATACTTTGCTGCCATAGTTATCATAGTTGGTGCTCAAAATTAGTCTAAGCAGCTCAGGACTTGTTCTATCTGCTGAGATCCTGCATTCAGGTCCGAGCCTACAAACACGTCAATGGTGCTTAAAAATTAAGGTAAATTAAGGTTCTGTTATTTGACAGAACTGGGTCATAACTGTAAAAAGAGAAAAACAAAGACAAACAAAAAACCACAAAAACAAGAGCAACTATTTTGGTCTTTATACAAAATGACCTCATTTTACAGATTCCTTTTATCCTCAGTCTTAAATTCCAAAACTACTCAAATTTCTCTTAGCAGAGACTTCAGGAACCTCAGCTAAGGAAATGTAGCCAGCACTTAGCAATTTTAAAGCAGACGCAGTTTTCTGCTTACAATGCAATGTCCTGATGAACATACAGCTTCTGAAAGAGAAAATATTACAGAAAAAAAGACAAAGTGTAAGTGTCAGCTTAAAACAATACCATGCTTTGAGGTAAAACCCCAAGAAACTTGGTGTCAGCTGCTACAGCTGCAGACCCTGAAGTCCTGTGTGATGTCCTTAAATTTGAAGATTTAAAGAAGCATCAGAAATTAATTTAAAATCTGGTGAAAAGTGTCAGTAGGTGAATTATAGTTGTCTGTTGAAAACCATGGAAACCCCAGTTCAGATCCTTTTAGCAAAGTCCATATATTATTGAGCTTTCAGCTGCATGGACGAATGCCTCTCAAAAAAACCACTTCCCAGCAAAGTATGCCTTTAATTAAGTCCTTTTCAAGATGTGAAAATATAATCCCTGGTTTACTGGATATGTAATTCTCCCACAACAGTTTGTGCTCCAAAAATGAAAAAAAAATGTGGAGGATATAAAAAATAAACAGCATTGGGGTTGTTTATTGGGAATATCACAAAAAAAAGAAAATTAGGAGTGTTTTTAAAGACTTAGTCCAGGTATACTGTACCAAATTAAACCCTTGTTTATTATTATTATTACTTAATGCAGGCATTAAGTTTTACCTACACTAGTTTGTAACAGTTTCTACTAATATAACCAGATGAATGAATGGACAGATTTTAAATGCTTTATTGCTTACAAGATCTGAAATAGCATAAATATCTGGTAAAAGAGCAAAAATCCAATTTTTATCATGAGTAGTTCAGTTATTTTCTCTGGGGGGGTTATTTATTTTTAAAAAATAACTTTGCTCATTATATTTGGTAATCTCTAAAAAATTAATATCTAATATATGTGCAATACTATTTCTGAGCCTCATCATGTTGCACAAGTTTTCATGCTTGTCCACTACAGCTTTTCCTGTGCAAATGTTAGGCAATTATATCATCCCATTAACGGTCTGAAATCCTTTGAATCTCTAAAGTTTTGATTTCCCTGTTAAAACTTTCAGGAGAGATCACAAGACAGAATAAAGCTTGATATTTATTAATACACACATATATATATACATACATATACATCTATATATGTATATATATATACATTAAAGATTACTTTCAGAATGTAACAAATATAAAAAGTTATAAGTGTTTACAAATTGTCAAAAATGTCCAAAGTACAAAAGGATACAGTACATCAGTTATATGGAAGTGATTGTACTCCTGGCACTGAAAGCATCATAATACTGTGGGCATGCACAATATACACCAGAAAAACTCATGCATCAACCAGAACAAATAAGGAAGTGAGACAATTTGCTGCCTTCTTTGATTACAAATTCATTGCTTCTGTTAGTTTTCTTTCCTCAGGAATACCATTTACCTGCAAATAGATGAGAATTTATATAATCCATCAGTCACACATGCTTCAATAGTACTCAACTGTCAAGTATGAGCACAGCACATAAATAATATTTATTATTCCTTTATCAACAACCACATTGGAGAAACACTCCAAGTACAACCTGGATGAAAAGATGACATACACATGACAAAGCATTCTTCTGGGAAGGGAGAGGGCTGGGAAAAGATTAACTGGGAATTTATCTTTCTATTTGGGGGGATCTAACAGGCTTCATAGGGAGGCTGAGGCACAAAACAGAAAAGGTGGAACGTAGCGTACATGCAATATTTAGTCTTTTATTTATAGGAATACCCTAAAAGCTTTTTCATCTAAGCACCTTTAACAGTGCTTGTGAATTCTGCCGATTGACAGAGAGACAATTATAAAACCTAATGTATCTGTTCATAATGGAGACCAGTAGCAATTTTCATCAGTGTAATAAACATTAGATGGGAGTTGTCACCTCTTACATAATTCTTTCCCAATTTTAATTTGTGAAAAAGTCAAGCATTATGTCAGCTATTAAGTCTGCCTTTTTATATAAGGTTAAAATAAAACTATTCCTTACTGGGGATTCAGATAATTCCTGAAGTGGACAACAGTTATTATCCATGGTCTGCTTTTCAAATTACTAAATACAATCTACTGAAGATTTAAAATAAAAATTTCTTATTCACAGCTGTGACTGATAGTATGTTAAATTCCCTGAATATATTACTGTGAGGAAAGGAAGAAAATTTAACAATTAAAGCCTCATTCTATAGGTTTTTTGGCTTTAGGATATTCTGTTTCTGCAAATTTCTTACTTGAACAGGTCAGTAAAATCGATGGCTAGGTTTGTATTCATGCTACTAAAAAACTCTTAGTAGTGCCTGAAGTTTGTTTTAAATCATAGCTTCCTGAAAAGCTAACATTCTGTCAAAAGGAGTTACGGATATCCTTTCAGAAAAGCTGCAAAAGGCACATGCCATCATGTCATGGAAGTGCTTGCAGGGTCACCTGCACATCTGAGCTACAAAGCAAGGTGTTATGATAAACCAAGGGAAGAGGAGGAAATGCCCTCTGTCCCAAATACATTCCACCACCCACCCCCCTGGATTTCTGAGAGCTTGTCACAGGCAGCATCTGGGATTAATATGAAAGAACAGTTGTATTCTACAAAAATAATGTACTGCAGAAAATACAGGAGAATTTTAAAGATCTAATTTTAGGGCAGTTTTTCAGTGCAACTCAAAAGTGACAGACCCGTGCTAGTTTGTATTTCATACCTTTGCAAAAATGCCTCACTGCTGCCACTGTACAGTATTACCAGGTGATTTTGCATCTTATTTGCTGCAAGACAGACTGGAATTCTTTAAATGAAACAGTCATAGTAGAGGAGCAGCACTATGTGACACTTTGATTCTACCTTCTAAACAGTGTGAATGAGAAGAGCTGTGCTAAATGTAAACCCATTGCTGGAGGCCCTGGATCAAGGCTTTGACTGCCAGGGTCATCCACCATTTCCAGCATATGTACAATGCAGAACACAAATGGCAAAGCTACCAGAACTGCTGTCAGACTTTTTGTACCTGTGTTTTTAATTTTCACATAACAAAACCTGCATGAAGAGAAACATCTATTATATACTTGCCTCAAATCTTTGAAATGTTGTCATACGAAATTCTCCTTTAATCCCCGAAAGCAGTAATGAAGAAGAAGGATTTTCAATGAAAAGAAAGCTGCTTATGTAAGTCCTGAGTTAAAACACATCTGCTTGGAGCTGTAGTTCCCATATTATGTTCAAAACATACGTATCTCTCTAGAGTTTTGATTAAATACCTCTTTGAATATTTAAAAATTACACTTGGCCTCTACTTTTTCCCTGTATGGTCCTCATCCCCTTTCACATGGCTATGGCTGTAGGTTTTTCTCAAACCTGAGATGCTAAGTACAGAGGACAGTCAGCCTTAGTCCACAGTCTGATGGTCACTCCTGACCTCAGTCAGTTCACGAGCATTTGTGAGAATGATATAAAAGTGATGACTGTGACACAAGAAACCTAAAGCATGGATGTGCCTCATCACAGATTCCCCAGTACCAATACATTATGTCTAGTAACTGCAACTAAGAGCTCCTTCTTCAAAGCTTAACTAATATTGGTGAGAATTACAAATTTAAATTTCCTATCAAGTGTCAGAATCTGAACCATGTGATTGCCTTTGGGAATCTGGCTGTAGCTTCATGTAACAGAAAATTATTTATATGAGCTTTCTAAGTTAACTGAACCAAATTCTAACCTCTCATGCAGAGTCCTAACGTAGCATTTCTTCCTTTTTTAATCAATCCCATGCCAAAATTTTCACTGATGTAAAAAAAAAAAAAAAAAATTGTAGAATGACAATTCTGTAATACTTTACTCTATTTGCAAATTCTTTTCACTGTCCACAGACTGTATACATTTTGACTAGTGTTTTCTCCACACTGGTCACTTAATAATTACAGTATTTTCTGAGTATTTACTGACCTGCACTCTGCTGCTGTGGAATCTGAGTCTGATGTGGCAGGTTCCTATAAAAAAACCATTTAATATCTTTAATGCTTCCATACAAAGTCTGAAGTGTATTGTGACAAAAGCTCAGTATTTACACTTCCTTTTTTTTATTCTTATGAAGCAATAATCTTTTTTCACTCTGCAAATACAGATGTCCAAACGTTAGCCAAGACCATGAAATAAAGACAATTAGTGTGAAAGTAGTTGTTATTATTGCACTTGTCAGCTACATTCAAAAGTTCAGACTTGGTGGAATGCCAGAGGCAACAAGAGTCACCATGGGTTTTGAAGTTCAGCAGTTTGATTTCTCTAAGTGAATATTCCATATTCCATGACTACAGCAAAGGTGACAGCATTTGCAACATAGTTATTGGCTGCAGAATGAATGAATGGTCAGCTACTTCTTCGTGTCAGACCAGTTCACTAATCAAGGCAGTTTCATTTTTGTGCTCTGCTAAAGTGTCTATTTTAACAGCTACCAGATAGATGTGTTTTTACAGAAAGGTTACAATGTAGGTGAAGCAGATAAATACTCTATGTACAACTCAAGAAAGCCTTTGGTACAAGATCTGACACCCCAGTCATAAAAACTGTTATTCTGAATATAGAAGAGAAGCTGTAGAAGATGAAGCAGAGCACTTTGCAGCACTTGTACAAGGAATAATTTATACAGCTGTCCTTTCTGGAGAATTTAGCTTTTGGGACAGGGAGAAGAAAACACACCTGCAGCATGGCTCTACATTGTGAAGGGAATTTAGGACTAGCATGTGTAAATTAGGGCTGAGTTAGAGCTGGTACAGGACCAGTACCACTGGGGCCATGCAGGCCTGACAGCAGAGGAGGTACCAGCTGGAGCTGGTGTTAAAACACAGCACTGGAGAATACCAACCACTTCTGAGACCTTCTGAGACTGCCCCAGATCTGCTTAGCCCCAGGCACCTTAACCAAACCTTCCCAGAAATGCCTCTTTGCTATAGCTCTACGGACTTGTCTGAATTAGAACATGTGCAAAGCATTGAGTCTGCCTTACTAGTTTCACTACGTTACTGATAAATGAACTCTAAGGAACGGGAATTAATTTTTTTTCTGTTTTTTTCTTGGAAAGAGTGGCAACAATGGAAACAGGAGAGAGCTATGAGCATTTTTCTTGGCAAGTCTGAATTTATTATCTGTGCAATGGAGTATGTTCAATGTCAACATTTCAAACACAAACCATGTGTGACAGGTACATGGCTAACTTACAAAGTCTGGATTTGAAACCCAGAAATCAGAACCCCAAAAATATGGGTCAAGAGACAAGGTGTCTAAAATAGAACAGTTCTAACTGATTCCTCTGTCAAAAGCAGTTTTCCTCCAAAACATGCAGAAATCTAACTGTCCCATGCCAAGCCTCTTGCAAGCTTGCAGACTGAAAGCCAGCCATTTAATCTTACAACAGAAGGCCTTTCGTCCTGCTGGAAATGCAAACATCAGAGCAATCCTGAACTAGAGAGTCATTACTGAATCCTCCCATAATGAACACATTTTGGAGGACAAGCACTGGAATCTAGGTCGTGCAGCACAGTGAGCATTAAGAACCAGTGTGAACACTTACTGCTGTGTCTGCATCAGAGGCATGCTGGTGTTGTCGTAGCTGTCCGTGTGCAGGGGCGGGACGATCTCGCCCGTCACCGGGTGAAACACGGGCAGCGTGGAAAGCGGCCACGCGATCTCTCTGTTCTTGGACATGTCACGAAGCTCTTTGGTTGATTTCTGTATAGCACTGTGGTGCACCAGCTGGATGCTGCGTCAGAAGAAAATAAAATAGTGAGTACATACTTTAAGTGCTCTATCAAAAGAGAGAATTTTTCTATTATTATTATTAAAGTACAAGGACTTTGATGCATGCTACAGACTACAGTGCAACAATTACAACCTTCACATAGTTAAATTAATAAATATTTATTTAACTTTTTAAGGCAGTAATTATTCCATTAGATTTTTCTGTTTGAATAGATATTTTTCATAGGATTCAAGACTGTGCAGTTTGTGGCTGATGTTTCATTTATTTCCTGCAGTTAAAGTTTTGGTTAACTCTTGATTCTTGTGGTAGATTCATAAAAGCTTGTAAATTAATTTTAAAACACTCCATATTATAGGCACTGGTTACCTTCCAGGATATTTATTCTCCTTTTCATTGTCTTTAAAAGACAAGTTGGAAAGTCCAATAACCAGGAGTATTAATTGCATATTAACATATTTATTCTAACCACACTATTTTATTTTGAATTGACCATCTTTAATTTCAAACCCTTTTTATTCTGGTCTTCTATCCTTTACCAATATTCTGATTTAAAAGCAGCTTTCACATTTATGAATTAAACCATGAATTTGAGAGAATGAATGAAGATTATGACACATATGTATGAAGCATGACAAGCTACTGAGAATGAAAATTAAATGGTAAAAGAAAAATAACAGGAAAGAAGACACTTACTCTGGTGTTTGCATGTTTCTCTTTTCCCTAAAAACAAAACAAAATTTATGAATTAAATAATAGCATTGATAGTTGGAACATTAATCTATCTGATGATGAAAACAGTACATGATGTGGAAATGCTGACAAGGTTATTGCTAAATGCAACTTGGCAGCATTTAACGGGGTTTATGATGAGGCCTTGATGAACGCACGTAGAGAGATGTGATAGTGGTGGCAGAAACACACAGACACACACACAGGGAAATGAAAAATGCAGGTTAAAGAACAAGCTTCTGGCTAAAATAAATTCTGTGACAAAATGAAATTGTAGTTTGTGTAAGAAATGGCAGAAATCACGTTACTTGCTGCTTTCCCTTTATGTGTTTTTCTTTGATAATATGTCTTAATTCAGTTAATCTCTTCAACCAGGTTTATGTTATAAAAGTTACCATTTTAAAAATTACTTAATATTTTCCTGAACCAATGATCCTTTATTAGTATTTTATTTGCTGGGGGCATTTTGGAGAGCTGTGCACATTTTGAGGAGTTTTGTGCATATGTTGAGTATTTTAACCCTTTCTAGAACAACTAAAGGCCCTACATCCACTTGCTTGGAAATTAGTGCATGTGCTTAAGTGTAAAATAGTTCAGAATTACAAGCAGATACCTTTTAGCCTGTTTTAAATGTTTATAATGAACTCAATGGAGATATTCTAGCAAATAACCTTCTATGCATTATAATCTTAGAAAAATGAAGAGTTACTTATTAGCATGTTAAAGTACTCACACTCCTTCCCGTCGGCAGCACATGATATAAGCAAGTATTAGGAAAAGCACCAGTGCTATTGCCGAGGGCACTGCCAGTGTAATTAGGAAATCCGAGTAATAGTCTCTGCTTTTCAGTGTATCAGAAGGTGGCTTGTATTCTCCACCATCAGGTAATATTCCCTCTCCACGAATCACTTCCTGAAAGGTGGAAACTTGTTTTGTATTGTCAACCTGTTACCCAGGAAAAAAACAGAAAAAGGAAAAAAAAAACAAAACCACAATTAAATAGCAAAGTAACAGAATGTAAAAATAGGCAGGTATTTAACTAACCATTAACATACAAAAAGAACCATATTACACATTTTACAAATTCTATATGATTTAATCCTACCACTTTTTTTAAATAATAGAAGCTTTCATTTTATGAAGCTTCTGATCAGCGTAATAAGTAATGTTATAATATTACTACTCTCTTTTGTGCCTACCAGAGATACCATGTCTTTGACAGATTAATTTTAGACATATGTCACACAAACAGTATTTGAGTACTAATTCAGTAAACATTTTTAGTGCAACCTAATTAACTCATTCTGATTTCTTTTTGATTAATTCATCCATTTCTTACTAGTCTTCCTAAATAATAATACTGTCTTCTCTTACATAAATGTGGCAAAAATGAAGTCACATAGCTACAATGTTCTTCCTTCTCCTTCATATCACACTTTTACATCCAGGGCTCAAAAAATCAAGAGCCATCAACTGAGCTGCCAAGGACAGCTCATTGTCTCCCTCACACAAATTAAATTAGCCTCCAAAAGCTGCATTCCTGCTCACAATTTTTGTGTGTATGTGTGTGTCCGTACTCAATGATCCTAGAAATACAAACCTGTTTTGCTGCTAAATTTCCTATTGCTTTGGACTGCCATTCCCAGATGACTTAATTTTCTGCATTCATTTTTTTGTTATCTTCAGTTAGATGTTACTGTCAAATTTTACCAGTGCTAGCTTTAAGATCATTAATCTCCAGATCATAAAAACAAATAAAATATATTTGCTCACATGCTTGACCTTTTGTCTGTCTTTTCATTAAGAAATTTTGCAAATGATGGTCACTTCTTTATCACTTACACTTCAAGTCATAAAATGCTGTATTACAGCTTAGGCAATGGGTGAAGAGATTTTTATGAAATTCCAGAAATCCCGCTGAGCCTCAAATGCACGTGCACACCCACATATATATGTGTTTGTTAAACAAAAATGAATTGATCTCTGCTCATTAATTCCAGAGTATCTTCTCTGTTAGGTACACTGAGTTCTACCTGGCTGCTTAGCTGAATCTCCAACTCTAACAACACACAAAAAGTACGTACTTACTGATGTGACTGACAGTCCCATACACAGCGTGAGAAGTAGTTGTCAGAGAGCAGCCTCAAGTGGAACACTTATTACATTGTCCATCCTTGCAGAATGTGGGATCCCCAAACTTAAATCCATGCTTTGGGTGCTAACTGCCAACACCAGCTCATAAACAATATGAGGATGAGGATATGATGGCTCTACTTTCTATCACTTGTTTAAATTGTGGATATGGGAAACACACCTCAACTCCCTCACAGCCCATAGATCTGGGGAGAATTCCCAGATCTCTCAGCTTGCCTTGAGAAAGCAGATTGTGATTAGATAGAGGGAAGCTTGGCTCCCTTTTCCTTTCGATGCAGCAGGTTACAGCAGAAATGCTGCTGGCAACAATAAACACCCCTGAGATAGTTTAAATTCAGTTACTGTGGCACACAGCCAAAACAAGTGCTAAATTCCAGAAGACTGTGTTATAGCTGCTGCAGAAAATAACAGTTCTCTGGAAGCCTGTTCCTGTTACACATCCCAGGGTGATCTCTGCTTTTCTCAAACCAGCATGACAATGCTGCTTCATGATAAGTTTATGAGCCACTGCCACTTTCAGGCATTTTTTTCTGAAGAAGTACTCCTAACCAGTTTATTTTCCTTCTGTGTGGGCACTGCTGACTATTCTTGCTTTAGTGCATTATCCCTCTGCTGCTTCTTTTAAAATTCATCCTATTTTCCAAGACTGTTTCTCCAATTTCTCACGACGTTTCTGAATTCCATCATGTCCTTCAATGCACCTGCAGATCCTTTCAACTTCATGGGGAACTACAAATTTAATTTAATATGCACATTCCATCATCCAGCTATTAATGAGGAATAGCCAGGAATTATTATTAATTCTGCTATGATTATGGCCACCAACCAGCTCTCCACTAGGACCTAGCTTCATCTAGGCCGTGTTCCTGAGCTTGCTTGTGGACAGTATAAAAAAACCTTACCAAGAAGGAATGACATTTGCTTTTTCACCTTGGTTCTACTTCTTCCTTGTAGACAGAAATGGAAGACTTGACATAGTCAAGTCTTTCCAAATACCAGCTGCCTTCTGCTATTTTTCAGGTGCTGGTAAGTATTGCTGTGTACACTTGGGCCTTTTACAATTTCTCAACAGAAAGCAAATAAAAAGCAAATAATCTGGGTATTCTTTTGAAACATGTATTTTCCAACCTTCTAGAACCTTTCCTAATTTAGAGTGAATAGGCAGAAAAGACTGGAAGTTATCCAATCAATTTTGTGTATGAATACCTTTCCTTATACTCAATAAGTTTTTTCCATCCAGTGTTTAATATCTCCCTTTCAGCTTCCTCCTGGGTAATATCTGAAGCAGCTTAACAACCATCTAAGTTTATTTTATATTCTTTCACTGTCATTGTTCAGATTTATCTGCAACATTCTCTTTGCATTATTTCTTGATCTTTCTTATGGGAACTAAAACAAAACAACTTAAAAAGTCTCTCTGGGAATTATTCTCCTTTCATGGTAAATACTCTAGTTTTTGGTTATCATTTTTCTTGCATCTGACTGAGAAGAATGTTCCTATTTATTATTTAATTAGTCAACATTACTTTCATTCCTTTTTCTATTTAATTTTTAACATAAAACAGAGACATAAATAAAACAGACAATTTTCAGGAATAGTTTTTTAACAGTGTACTATTAACTGGTCAGTGTAGAATCAGTATCTGAGAAAAGATATATGTATGCACACACTTTTTCGGGAAATGTAACCAGCAGGATCAGCATTCTGAATTACTGAACTACACCTCTCATTACTTTTAGTTTTTTAAGCTTTGGAGCTCTCTAGCCATTTATAGAATTTACTGCTAGTGAAAACAAATACAGTGGTTTCACTGGAGCTCAACTCTAACAGAATTTAGCTTGCACAGCAAAATCCTTTCAGGTTAAGAGTGTCTGCTAGACGGAAAAAAATATCAGTCACAATAAAGTGGAATTGGCAACATTGGCTGACCAGACTGGCAAAACTCTTACCTGTACTTCTACAAATATCACTTCTATGCAATAATAAAATAACTCACCAGAGAGATTTTACACCAGTCAATATGGAATTGAGTACGAAATTTTTTATCACAGGTTATTACAGGCTCCATTTCTTGACTGCACCTCAGCTGATTTTGTGGGTTTTCCACTTCTCGTAAACACGAGGAGAAAGGAACATCTGCCCCAACCATCACGTACACACTGCAGAAAGAGATGAGTGACAGAGCATCAGGTTGTGTCACAAATCCCCAAAGGACAATGATGTACTCTTCCAAACATTATTGCTGTACACAGTAACATTCAGCTGTTATTTAAAGATTGAAATTACTTTTTAAAATAATTTTTCTTCATAGTATACTTTTATATCTTTAAGCATACAAATAACAGACTGAAATCAGAAGGACTTTCCTAGCTGCTTATTACAACATTTTCTGGTTTGCTTGTTAATGCAAATGTTTCATTACCATCAGTGGTGCCAATTTCTATGAAGTCAAAGAACTCCAAGTGTGGCTTCCTCATGTAAGTAAATCAGTACTATTTTTGAAAATTGTATTAAAATAGCAGCATTTTTTTTAAAGGAAATCTTTAATCTTGCTCATCATAGATTTTTTAGAGATTCCTCCCATGTTTTCAGAATAGATTCACAATGACTAGTTATTGCTAAACCTAATAGAGCTATGAACATGCTAACCCCCAGTTTCTTCTAAAAGGTTCCATACTGTAGCTATGCACAGCAAACAAAATTTGCTTCAGAATACTGAAAGCTGAAGGTAAACCTAATACTTGATTTACCATTACCATATGATGCCTTAAGATGCTGGCAAAGGACCCTGGATTCACTACTCCAGAGTTAACAAAGCTTCTGCTCCTGAAACAACTGTAAAAAGCCTAAACAGTGGACTGAAGAGAGAAAACAAGAAGAATGCGACTTCATAACCTGAAGCTATAATTGGACAATTAACCTCAATATAAAGATAGACCAAAACTTATAAAACTGTGAGATCTCATGACCAGTTGTCCACCTTGTGACCATTTTGGGTCCATCTTGAGTGCAGCCCTGGCCAGGCTCTTGTACTGCCCAAGGTGTATCCTTTAAGGTCTTTCAGTAAATACCTGCTTTATTCTTAACTCTGTCTAGCCTCTGTTCTAGGTCAGCCTTCTCAAGGCATCACATACATAAAATAAGAGCTACTACACTGTATGTAAAATACAGTCTGCTGCACCAGGTAATAATGTACCAATGGATTTTGAAACAGAAATTAGGTCCTGGCTGCCATTTGTTACAGCAGGCATTATCTAAATATTTGAAGTGTAGTCATTGGTATTAAGTGACTGCTATTACTCTGGCTAGTACAGAAGTCACTTTCCTTCTTTAAATGTGCTCAAAAACTCCAGAGACACAAAAGGATTCTGAAAAAGCCAGTATTTTCTGCACACATCTCATATTTTGAACCTTCATCCCTTTCTTAGATACTATTTGATTCCAAAATATCTAAAATAATCTAAAAGTAACTAAGCATCTTCACTTTCACCAGAGAAAAGCACTGTCAAAACCATATTTGAAAAAACTGGATCCTTATTAGTTTCCAGTTAAATACTGTTTAGAACAGTATTTATGGTTACAAATCACAAACGGAAACAATCCATTCCAGCAGTTTACACTTAGTAAACTGAGCTCCCCAGACAATTTACAACTTTCAGAAGAAAGTCAAAACTGCTCTTGAATCAAATAACTAACTCAGCATGAGCGCAGCTAAAAATTACTGTTACATGCTAACTTCTCTCAGAAATTGAAGCATCTCTGCAATCTCTTCTCTATCAGAACTTGCTTCAAAATTTTGAGCTTAATGAATTTGGAAGAGTTAAAAACTTGAAAAGCATGTCAAATGACTGCTCAGAAGTAAAACTGGGATCACAAAAAAACCCGTATTTACTATCAATTATAGTTAATGGTATTTATTAGTATTCCTTGGATTATAACATCAATATATAGGAACTGTGCACTGTTGTCGTGGTTTCTAACACAATAAACTTGGGGCTCAGACCATGAATAAACTTTTCACATCTAATTCCAAAACATAAAACAGCAATTGCAAAGTTTCTAAAAAACTTGAAAAAATATTAGGCTTCTCAGTAACAACAACAAAAAAAAATAGTGAAGCAAAAACACCATACTGACACATGCTTACCCCTCTTTCATGTCATTAATTGGAAGTGGAACTCTCCCTCCCCTGTCAAGGGCTGAAGTAATATTTATAGCATTCAAGCGTTCTGGCTGCCATACATTTTTCACTGCTCCGAGGAAGTCACCAAGAACTTCACTTGCTAACATTTCTTCTACATTCATGTTCCTTATGAAGAATTCCGCTTGATATGGTAAAGGAAAATCTATTTGTGAGGAAAAAGAATGTTTTATTAAACACAGGCTCAATAAATCCAAAAATAAATCTTCAAAATATCTGGAGAAATTATTAGTGTAATAATACTTTAAGACTGATACACCTTTCAAAAGATCTTGTGTGTTTGAATTAGCTCATTTTGAACCTACTGTGATTATGTTTAATTCAGTAGAGAGTACCATTAGCTGCTACTTGAGCTAAAACCCTTCAGGTATTTGGAAAAAACAGGGAGATAAAGAAGCAGACTACAGGAGAAGAGTCACAGTTGTAAAACTTCATTAAACAGATATAATTACATTCATGCTAATTTGTGAGTCAAAACCAATCTGCAGCTACAATGGATTCCAACTCATGACACTCCAGAATGCAAATGTGATGAAGAGAATTAATTTTAGGGTCCAAATGTCCATGTATGCTATAACCTGTTGTTTTCTGATCCTGCCTACACAATTGTTCATTGCTCAAGGCACACACAGAACTAAGAAAACTAAACAACTTGCGGAGAGTAAAATCACCCAAGTCTTTTCTTTGAAAAGACAAGGGAAATTTTGAATTCGAAGCAGTTTGATGAGAAACAAATATGCAAACATTTTACTCTGAATGAAGAAAAGCAGTCCTGAATGAGAGAAGTAATCTTGATTAAAAAAACAAAATGAATTAAACGAGGAAAACTTCTCTTACTTCTGCCCTGTGCCTTGTGCTTGGTTTGAATACCAGACAACCATTTTACAGTATTTATCTTGAAAAGCAGGAGCCCATAAGAGGGTGTTGCTGATTCAGTTAAAAATACAACCAGCCATATTCTGTACATACCTTCTGCTGACATTATATTAATGATCAAATTGTGTCTTGCTGTTTCAAAGGTACGCCTGTTATATGCAGTGATCTAGAGTGAAAAAGATAACATTACAAAACAATGCAAAAATTAAAATTATATAAATGAAACATCAGTGGAAGTTAAATTGGTAACTGAGGAATACTTATTTGCTTTTAAGTACCTTGCCTCCTTATTTTGAAACCTATGAACATTCATTCACTGATATAAAATTTGAAAGGTAAGGTAATTTATTTAATGCAGTACTACCTTCAAGTCAGGATATTGGTATTTTCTTGACCAGTCTATAGCCAAATACAATTAACAAAGGGATATATGTAAAAATAATATCTTTTGGCCCTGATGGAAGTGTTCTGCCATACATGTGTATTCTTTATCTTCTGTTATCTTTAAGAACCACCATAAGGACAGATTGGTTTCTCCATTTCCCCATGCAGCCTCCAACCCCCCTCCATCAATTCTGTAAGAGCTAAATTCATTGATAGCTCCTAGGAAATAAACTACATGGAGAGGTTTTTTACAGGAAAAAGTGTTGGGATGCCAGGAATTCTCATCTTTGGGTCTGCTATTTAGTTTTAGCTCTGGATCCAGTGAAGTCTCAGTCCATGAATGTACTCAAAATAATGCTCCAACACAAGTAGTTTTTTTAAAAAAAAATCATGGAATCTGTAAATGTAGAAGTGAAAACCAGGAGATAGATGCAACATTTGTGACTCTTATCTTTTGAAACATACACCTTCATGAATAAAATATGCAAAGATACTGATCTAAAAGTTAAAATATCTAGGATACCTGAAATGCATGCAAGCGGTTACTTCTCAGTGGTGACTGTACTCCAAGGTTGTACTACGATTAAGTGCTCATTCATATAAGAAATATGTATTCATAAGAATAAGGCTGGATATCAGTATAATTATGTATTATCTTCTCTACCTTTTTTATCCCTGCAAGGTGATAAATCTTTCATGAAACAAACAGAAAAGTTTTTAATTTTAGATTTCATTTCACTGATTTTGAGACCAAAGGAGAGGCAGAGTGACAACAGCGACAGAACTATGTTGCTTCTCAGCAAACAGAGCCACAAACCACTGTCACACTATTAAATAAATAAAAGTAACAGATGTTGCGTTTCTTTTAAGTATTTGAATGAAAAGGAAAAATGCTGCAGAGTATCTAAGCAGGTTTAAATGGAGAGGGAAAAGCTTACTCAACACAATCAGATCTCATTTAACACTACAATTTCACTATAAAATTAACAGGAGATTTCTCTAGTCCTAATTCAGCTAATTTTTCAAAGGGTTGCTTCACCAGAAGTTGAACCACTAGCACCCAGAAAATCAAACCCCCTTTTTGTACAAGCTCTGTACATGAGCAGGGCAGTACCCACTGTGAACCTGCACTCCAGCAGTGGGAGCTACCAGCGTAGACTATGCATCACACCAAGGAATGGCAGAGATTGCCTCTGTCCTGAATATTCATTCAAACACAAACTGTCTTTGCAGAGCTTTCAAAGGAGCTTGAGCTCAAGAGTGTTACCTGCTCTGCTGCAGTGCTATGCAGAATGCTAGCCTCTCCTAATCAGGAGGTCTCCTCCAGTTAAGTGACCTCCTCATGATATTCCCTCAGGAATTATAACATGATGGAAGTTATATTCAGGCCAGAAATATGCAGTCACTCCTCTCAGAAGGCACTAGGAAGAGGATCAAATGCCATCTGCTCTCCTCACATACTGCAAAATTAATTCAAAAGCCATATCTAAGACTGGAACTGCAAGGAATTAATTTTATATGCTAGGCAAGATTTACTTCAAATATGGCTTGGGGTCATGCTTAGAATGGAGGTCTCGATATAGATCCTAGAAGCTAAAAGCACATACTATTTAAAAACTGGCAACTTCAAATAATGGTTTCCTCCACATAAAACTAAGCAAAGCCTGCAAGAACTTCTGCACATGATCAATTCTCAGATGTTATTAGTCCTGCTGAAATCAAAACAGAATCAATACAAAATTAAGCATGGGTGGAACTATCTATAATATAACTTAACATTCAGAGCTGTCATGCTTGAGGAAGAAAAACTACATCAAATAAAATTTAGAAAAAAAATATATTCATCAAGGTTTTAAGACAAATATATGCTGAAGCAGCAAAATGGTTGGAGCAAGTTAATGTGCAGATTTCTTAACACTCTGAACCACACAGTGTCTTATTCAGCCTGCTGTCTATGAAATACATGGTAGAAAATATTGTCCCTTTTCCCTTTTGAATTGTTGCTCAATGAATAACTAGTGCTTTTATATATTTGAATAGCTAACTCTCAAAAATACAGTTTTGTCATTGTTACACGTGTAAGAATTAAATTCATAAAAGTGCTAACTAAAGTAAAACCTATCAATAAACATGAATAATGAACAAAGGGATGTTTGATGAAAAATAATTTAAAAAACCCCAAATCAATCAAACCAAAACACAAAACCAAACATTTACACAAGAAAAAAAACCCACAACTGCTTATTGACTGAACACTTTCATCTAGTGAGGAAAAGTCTGACCTGTATTTAGGTATAATGTTACAAAGTTACGATTCAGTTATTCTCCAAGTATGGTTGTTTACAAAGGTTTTTTGCTCTATATTTTGAATAAAACTTCAATATGAATAGTAATGAATTTTTCAAAAACAAGGGAGAACTTGTTGACAGTTCCGAACCTTATACTCTAAATCAAAATACATATTTTTGAACTTCTGAAAGCAAATACCTCAATGATGGTTGGCTTGCCCACGTTTTCTACAGTTGGTGAGCCATACAGCACTCCATCACTGTATGGTGTCCTTTGTATGTAGCGTAGCCATCCAGGTCTGTCAGGGTAACCCATTAAATTGGTATTAAATGTTATAGGATCATTACTTATTTCACCTAGATAAGAGAAATTATATTAGAATATTTACAAGGAAATGCTAAATGCTTTGATTTAAACTTTTCAACTAGGAAGTCTTACTCTGCTGCTTTCACTTGTTTTCTGAACCTTTCTAAGAAGAAAAAAAACAATTAAAATTTGCTAACCTTTACCATATCAGAAATAAGTGAGTTCACTTATGAGATGAGGTCACTGTTATTACTCAGCACTTATAGGTATCAAGAAATTCATACCTGGAAAGTGTAACCAACTGCAGACATAATGTGCAGGTACTTCCTAGAGTCTTGGCTAAGTGCTCATGTTCAGTAACTTGTGGGTCTGATTTTTAGACCAGTTCCACCTCAAATGGAAGCACCTAACCTCCTTACAGACAAAAGCACAAAGGTTTCAGTCCTTTAATTCCCCCTCCCAGCTTCCTTTTATTTAAGTTTTTAATGATGGATTCAGGTATTCAATGTACTGTAAAGAGTGGCTGTGTAATCAATAATGTCTGAAAGCTTCTGTTAGCATTAGGATTAACATACAGGTTTTTTGGCACCAACAGCCTGGCAGTCATTTTAATTTAGAGAAAAAATTAATTCAAAAAAGGATCCTCCATTCCTTGAACTGGAGCCACTGATGGCTACTAAATACAGTGGTCCAGCTGAAACCGGTAAAAGTCCTTTAAATCAAACCAGAACATCAGTTCTTGTGGTTCTTATTGATACTCTTATAAATGTCTGGATTCTACTTCAGTTTATTTTAGCTCTTGTAAATGAAATCAGGCCTGAACACTACCAAATCCTCACCAGCAAGGCAGTGTCCAGCTAAGGCACAGAACTTGAGTCAAATCCATTCTGAGCCTACACAGACACTTCCTGCCCTCCACTCCAACTCAGCTTTGAGAGGGCAACAGCACTGTAGGACAAGTGATGAAAGAAGGGAACAGCCAGGCTGGCACAGAAAGCAGAAACCAAGCCCAGTGAAGAATGAACAGCTCTCATCTTCTCCAGAGAGGGACAAAGAGACCGAAATGTGTTGCCCAAGGGTGACTAGTCTTTAGGTACACATTTACACATCTGGTTGAATAAAATGAACCAGAATCAGACCAAAACAGTACTTGAGTGCAACACAACTTCCTCACAATTCTCTCAGAACTCCCAGTAATCTAATCTATTGCAGTCAGAATCACAAAATTCAGAATTACAGAATATGAGCTGGAAGAGACCCACAAGGATCACGCAGTACAGCTCTTAAGTGAATGGCACGTACAGAGCTTGAACCCACAACCTGGCATTACTAGCACCCTGGTCTAAAATTCCCAGTACCACAAATGATTTGGGGAAAATTCTGAAAGCAACCTGTGAGACATTCTGGTTTGCCCTTCCTTCATCAAGGTAGGCCATGGTAATGATTGAGCTCAGCAGACAAAAATTAAAGTACCATGACAACACTTGACCTCACAGTGAATTTCTGACATAATCACGACTGTCTGTGGGGCAATTCCAACAGGATCTGAAACCAGATGCCTTGGCATCACACAAATGTCAAGAGGCTGCCACTGTAAGACAATCCATCATTAGGAAAATTTCAAAATTCTTTCCACTTATGTGCCAAAACTGAGAGAAAACTGGCACAAACTTCACTCTGCCAGTCACCATGACATAAATGAGGACTTGGGTATCCATGCCAGGGAAAACACACATTTTACGAAGAGAAGAAATTTTTAAAACTTTTAGGGTTGACTCATGTTTACTCAAAATTTAACCAATGCTAACAGAAGCTTTTTTTTTTTTTTTTAAAGTGAGTCTCAGTAATAGCACTCTCAAATCAATTCCAAACTTCATTATTGAAACAGGCTTTGATTATGCATGCACTGTACATAGGTTTTTCTTATTCTTATAAGAAAATTGTCATATTTATATAAGTTGGATATATTTATTTCTTTTCATTGTTGATAAGTATGTGTGGCTGAATGCTCTCTCTCTTCCCACCCCTCCCAGATTGCTTACACATATTCTAACCTACAGTGACCAGTCTTTTAGCTTCAGTGTATGGCAAAACCATACTTAGGAAACCACAGCTCCTTCTCTAAAACCAAGCTGTTTACTAACATTAAACTGTTCCTAAATAAAGGAAGAAGGCTGAAGCTAAAGGACTGTTTTTTAAAATGAAAGAAAACAGTATTATGAAGTCTCATATTTGATTTAATCTTCTACGTTATGTTTACTATATGGTTTCAAATTACTCCTTCATATAGCCTGATACATACTATGTCTGAAACAAATGACCAGATAAATAGCATTTTTAACAGACATAATTAATAAACTTCCACAATTTCATATTTAATGCAAAAGTGAAGGAGCACTATTTAATATCAGATATAATGTGTTACTTCACCTTCCCAAATAGAGTACATTTTTCACAATTTACAATTATATGCATCTTTCCACAAATGATCACAAACTAGAATATTTTAGAAGTGTAGGACTACACGTTTTATTTCATTTGAAGATATTTCAATAGAAACTAAAACCTGTCTTGTTTATCTTATATGTTGAGCCACAAGGCATTCTAAATAGACTTCAATTTTTTATAACAATATTTTTTCTGTATTTGCATATAATATGGAAGATCTTAGCATTTCATACCAGGCTTTGGGTAAGGAGGAAATTCCCCCTTAAAGTACTCTCTCTCCAAAACATGAACAAACAGAACTCCAGCAGAAGGGTATACATTCCGATCAGAGTGCACCTTAGACAGAATTGTGTACACTGAAAAGCAGAAGGAGAGATAAGAGACAGAAAAAAGGCAAAAATGAGACATGCTCTAGATAACTTCATGCATTTCAACAGCAATGCAGGCATCTGGGAGAAGGAAAGCAACAAATATTAGACACCTGTTAATAAGATTTTTAAAAGGTTACATAGATTTAAGAACAGAACACAGAGCAAACCCTCTCTTTGCCCAACAGGATCCTTTCCAAGATTCCAATAAAATAAACTGCATATGTTAAGATTTCAAAAGTTGAATCTTTATTTTTATTGTAATTAAAAAAATGAGGAAGGCTATTACAATTTTGTAGTTGGTTTATTTGTAATATTACTTTAATAAAAGTACAATAAATTAATTATACAATCATGTTTTCCTGATATTTTACATAAAGAAAGCAACTGAGGAATACAAAAGAACCTTACCAATCGACAGTTCTCATTCACCACTGAACAAAAATGGCAGATTTTTCAATTCTTGTGCAGAAAAGGACATAAAAATCAGCTGAAGGGAATTGCTATGAGTTCTTAAAGCTAGACTTTCTCAGACCACCCAGGTAAAATACATCTCAAACTTCAATTAGAGAGCTCATTACTAAAGATGTTAGGCTTGTATTGAAGGATAACACAAAAGAACAAGGGTATTTATAGGCCAGTCAGCTGAAACTGATTCCAAACAAAAAAAAGTGAAGCCATGTTTTACAGGACTGAGTATCAAAAACCTAAAGAAAACTTAATTCAGAACAATCAGCATATGTAAAAGCAATAAGATGTTTATTTAGTACAAAATTCATTGATAAGGGCATAGCTTTTTAGGTATAACACATTTGATGCAGAACTACATACATATTTTAATGACTTAGAAGAATGAAGAAATGACTACAATAAATTAGGTGGTTTAGAAGCCACTTTAATAACAAGTTTCAAAACGTAAGTATAAAGAATACTGATTTAATAGGTGTTTCTCATAGCACCTTAATAAGATGGATTGTAGCTTGCATTACTAATTTTATTACTATTGAATTTAAGTTAATGCCCTGAAAGAATTGATCATTGGTAATAGATTTTGTCAGTGAGATGAAGATTACAAAAGTAGTAGATAAAGATCACAGAAAACCACACGCAGCTCCAGCCTTGCTTGCCAAATTTGAGGAATCCTCCATGAGGAATCACATCTCCAAAAACAAATTATAGACCATACAGCATGGAGATGCTGTCACTAGGAAGACAGACTCGAAAAGACACTTCAGAATCATTGTAAAAAATTCTTGGGAACAAACTTGTAGGTCCCAGAGGGGCTAATTTCAACACTTGGATGAATAAGCAGGACACATTTGAAATGTGGATAAAGTTCATGTAATTTTTTAATGCTGGTATAATTTTTTAATCCTGGCATCATTTCTCCAGCCTTATAATTACACCAACTTTCTTACTTGAGATCTGTTAAAAAAGGCACCACTAATTAGGCATTAATCACAGGCATTCAAGCTCTCACACCACGTACTCTTGAGTGGAATCTCTCTCACCTAAATTTAGATGCCTACAGAAACAACATCCACCACTGAGTTAGTCAGGCTCCTTTTATAGTCAGTGGAGAAGAAACAGACACTTCCAGTGGTTGATTTATTTGATTTCTCCTGTAAAATGAGATGAATCATGTCCTAGATTCCAGGCTACACTGACTAGATCTCCATGCACTGTAGAGGCATCTGAGAGGAGATGCAGACATCTGTAATGTAGACCTCTACATTTAATTACATGCTGCCAACTCTTCAAGCTTAATGTTGCAGAATGAATAGCTCTGAATATACTACTGATCACATTCCACAGCATTTGTTTTTTCCCATATTTGAAAACCACTTTTAACACAATACTGAATAGAACACCTTTCTAACAGTTTTATCTTAGTGACAAAATTAAAATGATCCTGAAATTTGAATTACAATTCCATGTGATTAATAAACCAGTTACTGTAATTTTCATTATGTAGACTTACATATAGTAAGATCATTTATTTATTAACTTAAAACTAGTAAATTGTTATCCAAAAAACCTCTGCACTCAATTTTGTGAATGAGGTGTAAACAGCACAAGGAAATTAATTAATTTCCTTTCAAATACTTTCAAGAAAAGCTGAAAAAGTAACATCAAAAGAAAAAAGAACTGAAAAAATACAGTGGCTAGCTGAAAATGCACCAAATGCCTAGAGAAGTTAATTTTTCCATTTCTGATGCTTTTCCTCTAAAATGAAAAGCCATTTAAAACAGGAAGAACAGTGAAAAAGTAATGTGTATTTTTCCTCCATAAGTAATTCTTTCAGAACGAAACAAGCATAATAGAATCAACAGTTACTGAAAAACAACATAATAATTTTGTCTGCTATAGGAAACCTATTACCACCACTAAAATACCTGCCCATTCCTAGCAATGAAACATTCCCTGCTGCTGAAATAAGTGTGCCAGAAAGGATTTGATGCAGATATAAAATATTGATCTTGGTGGAAGTCTAGAAATATCTCTCAGAAGGAAAAAACCCAGAAACCTGCTTTAACTTGTAATGACAAACACATCATAATACCACAAGTATGGTGATTCAGAACTCAAAAGTTCTTGCCCTCCTTGTCAGAGATGCCCTCCTTATTTTTCCCCAAGGAAGTTTCTTCAAAACCAAAGGAAAATGATAAGTCCTCAGTCCACTACACCTATCACTAGATTTTCAATGATGAAACAAGTAAAATGTTACTTTCTTCACAAGCCTTTAAAACCCATGATGATTTTTGTGAGACTGTGCGAGACTGGAGATGAATGTGTAATCATCATCTTGGGTGATCTAGGGACAAAACTGAATATACTTAACAAAGAGACACTAATCTAACACAGCAGACTGCCAGCTGTGAATTGCCTGGGCAAATTCCCTGTGGTAGATAAAAGTCTCATGGACTGTGAAAAGCTTCTCTAAAACTAATCATGGGAAATTAAAAATCTTCATTACTTAGGATCACATCAGATCCCTGGTATAATCAGCTGCCTTGACAGCACTGCCTTCCTCTTGTTTCCAGATCACTTGGAGGACTTTCTGTATGTAGATCCCAAGATCTTGAACACAGGCACAGCCAGGCATTCAGACAGGATTTTATCAGCCTGCATCCCAGAGTCTGTTACCAGAAACAGAAAACTCCCATCTCCAGAAATTTCAGAAGTTTCACCATGTTGATTGCAGCCTGTATGCCAATGATCCTCAGGAAAGAATTCACCTGGAAGTTTGGCTTTCTCCTAGAAATTTCAATTGGTTTTCTCCCCACTGATATTCAGCAGATGAAGCACAATCCCAGAAATAACTTGATCTGGAGGCCAATCCAGATTGCCTGTCCAGATGAGCAATCAGTGCAAAGCTTTTTCTCAGCCAGTGTGCACTAGCTACAGTATTTAATATGTACTTGTAAAAATGACAGTGAAATAGTCTTTTTACATTCATGTGTGATAAAAAATTTTAAATTGTTACAGAGAAGTTATTGTATTAAGCAAACCGCAGAGGTATCTTCAAGCAACCAGCCATGATAAGAAAATGTGAAGTGTTAGGTATAAACACAGCCATTATTTCAAGCAAAGCTACAGGAACAGGAAAAGTCAGGGAAGACTGACAAGAACACGCAGGTCTGTGAATATTTGAAGATTGAAGAAATGTAAAGTTATCCAAATTACCTACCTTAAAATAGCACCCTACTCCTAAAACAAGGACATGACTGGAAAAGCAAGAGTAATGTTAAAAGCAGGTTTGCTTGAACCAACAGGGTATTCAAATTTACAACCTAAACTCACCATTCTTCTGAACAGCCTTTATTCTGCTGATAACATAACTGTGGGCTCTCTTAGTCGTCCAGTTAACAGTTCCATTATTGCCATCAGCAGAGCTTAGCAAAAAAGCTTTTCAGAATAAAACAAATGCAAAAAAACAAATTAGTCAGATAACAGACTTCCACAGACAATCTGATCAGATGGGATCAGACACCTTCTACACCATGTTTTGGTTTTAGTCAGAATTTAGGAAGCACAGGTCAAAAAATAGAAGTGTTTGGTTTGAATATATAAATATATAATAATCTTTCTGACAACCACCTTTATTACAGTGATTTTTCCAAATAAGCTAAGCTCACTCTAAATGCTTATACCTCTGCAGACACTTCTGCTGACATAATTGTATTGATAACAAAGATGAAGAAGCGCAATCTCAAATAAATATATTTGCACTGTTAAAACCTCACATACAGGCAAAATATATAAAGTAGCTTTCACTGGAGTACTATATTTTGGTCAAAGTAGGAAAAGTAATATAAGCAAGCTTTGCTCTTATAATGATGCTTATGTAAAGACACATGTGGCTGATTGCCTTGCAGGCATAACCAATAATCAATTTTGAAAAAAGAACTCTAAAAATGGCTGCCTACATCCCACACAACTAGAACACAGCCTGAAATCAGCTAGATATATACAGCTGAGGTGGAAGTTTTAAATGCAGTGAGGAGCAAATGATGACTGGAGACAGAAGGCAGCTGTGGAGCTGACAGAGACTTCATCTCACCAGCAGCAGAGGTGCCTGAGAAAGCTCCCTCCTCACTTCCCACTTTTTGTTCCTGTTCTTCTGTGATGAATAATAGGTATACCAGCTTTACAGTTACATGCCAGCTGAAAGTATAGAGGGAAGGAACTGCAGTCAGATGCTAGGAAAGGGAAAGTGGCCATAATGAGTAGGTATTTTTATTTTTAAATAGTTTGGGAGTGAGAACTCATGTCAAACCCTCGATCAAAGATGTTTTTGGATTAGCATCTTAATGTCCTTGTAAAAACAGCAATACCAGAAACATCAAAGAGTGTACAAATTTGTATACAGATGCACCAGTTTGCAGGAAGAAACAAACACTTATAGGAAAACATGCACAGTACATGAAAGAAGCCTAAAGATCTGTAGAAACTTCTGACCTGTTGCACCAGGCAGCTGTTAAATTAGTGATAAGACATTCTCCAAACAGAATTCAGGAGGCCAAACAGATTTGGCTCAAGCAGTAATAAAGATATACCACAATCAATCTACACATGTAAGACAGATATTTATTATTGATAATTTACAGAAAACATCTAAAACCAAATTGAGGATGAAATGTAATCTAAAATTGCATTTTTAGTGCACTTTTGATTTTATTTCTTAAATTTAATAATTTGATTAATGCATTCATTACCATACCAACACAATAACATTTCTAACAGCTTTTTCCCTGCTGAAATGATCTGCATATATTGCAAGTCTTAATAGAATAACTTCCTAGGGACTATGAAATTTAGTACTGCATAGGACTTTGTGTAAATTTTAATAATTCTTGAAAAACTCAAGAAATTCCTAAAAAGGTTGAATAAAGTTGTTCCATTATTCCAGCAGGATGAGCTGGAATCAGAGGCTTCTTAGCTACAAACCAGCACCAGTACCAGACAAATCAATTAATACAAGATTAGATTACTGAATTATTAAATGGAAAATAGTATTAGAGTTGTCACAATTCTTGTCAAAATTATTATACTTATCACACTCCTTATTTAATATTTATTAAGGATTTAATGCATCTTTTTAGATACTTTTGGTGAGCCCACAAGTTTTTCCTGATGGACAGCAATAATGATGTTACCCTTAGTTATATAGCTTATCACCTAACACTTTGATTGAAAAAGTAGATACTAAAGCATTTCAGCATAATTAAATGCGATTAAAAAAAAAAAAAAAAAAAAAAGAAAAAAGACAAGTTCCACAAAATGTGTTTTTCAATATATGTGATTGGCAAGTGTCTTTGATTTGGGTTCCAAGTTGTGCTAAGTTTGGCTGTGTGGATTGAAGAAGTTACCAGTCTACATCTCCATGCTATGCTGCATTTCACAGGGGAACTGGAAAAGCGATCAGTATGCCTGTTTTCAGATCCTAGGGTTTACAGTGTGATGTTTCCATATATATCACCATTGATTTGATTTCAAATGACAGATGTGAAAAGCAAGAGAATAGGGCTGCTAAAAAGTTAATTTGTTATATGAGCTTTCTAGTGGGTCTCACAAAGTTGTGGCATTAGCCTTATGTAACTGGGATGGAGGGAAGAGAGGCAGGAAAGAAACGGAGATGGGAAGGGAGACAAAGAATGACTTGTATGTACCAAATATACTGATAGAACTTGCAGGTAAAAACAAAGGCTGGGAGACTGTCAAATAATAGAGAAGACAGAACAGTCTACATTGTCTAGTAAAAAGGTGATCAGTGATGTGCAGTTCAATAGAATAAAATGTAACTGCACACCAGGAACAAAGGCAGCAGCATGCCAAACACACACTGTGAGCACACAATTCAGGCATGCTCAGCTTGGGTAACAACCTAGAGATGCAAGTCAGGTTGAACAGAGCTTTCACCAGAACACTGGCTAGAACAGCTGACACGTAAACAGCAACATCAAGGAGGAACAGGCAGACTTTATTTTTGTACTTGACACAATTATGATCACTGTTCAAATGCTCTGTCTAGCAGAACCTTCAAGAAGCAACTGACAACACGAGGAAGGCTCTGGGAAGATTTGAATATGATTAAAGGATGACAAAAGAGACCTTATACTACAGAATGCAGGGATTCAAACTATGCACTTTATCAAAGAGACAGTTTAGAATTAATTTAATCAGCGTTGTACTCACGATGAAAGAATGTTAATAGTGTCAGGCTCTTCAGTCTGTTACACGTGTTGCCACAGTTGCTGGAGAACCCACCATTGCTTACAGCACCAGGAGCAATTCACAGCTCTGTGCCTGCGACTTGAACATGCCCAAGAGAAGCATATCACAGTTTTTTCTTCTTTCTCCAATTATGTTTTCTTTTAATTATTCTTTAATTATAATTGCATTGGTTATAAATAAAAGCCACAATTATATTAATTTTGACATTTTTCCTCTTTTTAAAGTACATTTGCATAATATTTAACAGAGAGGATACCCACAGTAATTTCTGACCATGTAACAATCAGAAAAGGACCAAAGTATCATGGACCAACTTCACATTCCCCATTCCTTTACTGCATTGACCTCCACACAGTATCCTGCACCTTTACCTATCCTCTTATTCCTTCTTTGAAGTAGGATCTCATGCCCATCTTTCCCACTACTAAAGCAGCACACAGCTCCAGCTCTCAAACACTGCCACTTCCCCTTTCTCCCACATGTCCATCTTCCCCTGGGACCTGACATAAACACATGCTTGTTACTTTGATGCCACAGGCCAGGGCCTTTGGCCATGCTTACACTGCCCCTTACTCTCTTACGGCACAACCCTGCTCCAGAAAGCTACCCCTGCACTCCTGTACTGCATATCCCATCTGGCTTAATCCTCCTTCCTGCATTCTGAGCTGGAAGTGCAGATCCACACACAGCACATTCTTCTGAAGGACTGCTGAGAACCACACAGCAGAACAGTTAGAAACTGACACCACAAGCTGAAGTGAAACATCTGTGAAGAGAGAACCATCTGCAAGGTACTTGTCCCACAGCTGAAATCAGAGCTTGTAGCCAGGCAGTTACTGAGGATCCGCTGGTGTCCGCACTGCATACTTGCCAGGTTGGTCACAGCATCCTTTAAAGGAGGCAGAAGTTGCAGCACTCACCTACTCTCCCTCCTCTTCCAAATTCCATGCACTGTCCTCTTCCCTACTATGTAGTACATGGCAGAAATTTACTATGAATTAAAGGAAATTCTCTCAGTGGAATTTTCTAACCCTTTTCAACAACAGCTACTATGTAAGAAACAGGAATTAATTTGTGCTAGTTCTCCGTTGCAGATTGCTCAGGTCCCTCTACGTTCCATTTATTCAAACTGTCTAAAAGTCGAAATCAACCCCAGAAATGTTTCTCAGCTCTGTTCTTGTTCATCTTTGTTCAGTAGGCAATGGTTTTCCATCTGTTCCTGTGCTATCCACTGATTACTGTAACATTTGAATATTTCTCCTAAATCATTCAAGTCAAGTAACTGAATAAAGCATTTGTCAGTCTCACTGTTAAACTTCAGCATTTGCATTCATGGGAATGCTACAAATTAACTACTGGGAGAACAAAACCCTCATGATTTATTAACAGCAGCATTTACCCACCACCATTCCCTCCCCTACTGCAAGCCTGAGAACCAAATTAGGTTAGCATTTCCACCTGTGAGGAAAATATTATCAGCTCCTGTTCCAGCCCTGTGGTGTAACCAAAGGGTATGACCAGGCCATCCTGGTGGCCTGCTACTCCAGGATGTCTCCTACATTTCTATCATCTTTTGATATAAGCTATCAGGGAACCCCTGCAATTGCATTCCAGATTTCTGAGGTGGCAATTGTTCTGAAAGACTAAGGATTTCAGAAAAGTCATTGATTTCAATACGCTAAGATTTCTGTCTGCTCAGTAGGTTGTTCTTTCTAACTTCTCATCTTTCATAGCTTGGACTGTCACTAAAATAAACACATTTAAAAGACATTTTGGCTGTTTCTGTTGCAATTGTAACAACATTTAGACACAGATTCAAATTCCTATGGAAGTAATCAAAACTAGCAACTCCCTCCTTTCCTCTAGAAGTCTGCCAAGGAAGGCACTCTACAATGATAGTGGCTGCTGTAAAATTCATCACTCTCTATTCAGGAAGAATGCAAAAGCTCTTCAGATACTGAAAAAAACCCAAATACTCTTTTCTAGGTTGTAAATAATTTTTCTTAGTTTGACTGGAAATAATCTTTCTTCTAGAGAAAGAGTTTTACTTCAGTGACTGCAATTCCTGAAGTACTTTAATGAACTTCTAACCAAATCTAAAAACATTAAGGATCAAAAATAAGCCTTTCTACACTAACATCTTCTGCTATAAAGCTGACTTTTTATTGTCTGGCTTCAGGACCTCTACGATGTCTCCATGTACTGCCTATAAATAATGTGTTTCTGAAATGAAAAGCATATTAATGGAATGGCTACTTTTCCCCTCCTGTAATTGCTTATTCAAGTAAGTAGTTATTGACAGTAGATTGTACGTATTGACCTGGCTCAGACTAGTAGTACAGGCAGCATCCTCTGAGGCAGACAAATATCCAGAGGCTCTCTGAAGGAAACCTGCTTCTCTGTCCATACGATTGCACCCACAACAGAAAAAAGGGCAGGTGTGCTGTGGTGTTAGTCTGACAACACCAGACCATCTGTGATATGTTCTGCCTCCTTGCACAGGGTGCAGCTTAGCAGAGGAGTGTTGCCAACAGCACTTTTGCTGTCAACAGCAGGACAAGTGCAGGGATCTGGTTCAGCCTCCTGGATCCCCGCCCCAGCCAGCGATTTCACAGCTGTTTTAAACGGGCATGTCTGCAGCCCCACTCAAAGGGGGCATTCCCAGCACATTCTTCATCATCTAGCACACACCAGTGGAAACGATCCCATACCAGTCCTGGACAGTACATTTCACTGAACTATTTTTGTGGGTCGACTAGTTTTGAGCCAAATGACCCAATCCACAGTATCACTGTACGAGTTACCCGTCACCAAGGGAAGCAGCAAATAATCCCTAGCTATGTAAGGGCTGGAGAATGCTTTCTGGCAGCAGTGCAGCTTTATTACAAATTAATGTGACCACATAACCACAGCTTGCAAAGTGAGAACTAATGAGCCTCTTCCCCATTTTGACCCCTTTACAGGGAAAGGAGAACTTCATCGCTCTACAACTCCCTATTCCTGGGATGAACAGGGGTTCCAGGGATAACATGGGCACTGACAACTAACTCTAAGTGCAGAAATACAGGGCAAAACTACTTGCCACAGTCACTCAAACAATGTTTTGATAACCACTCTCTCTGCAGATACACAATATGGGGGCAATTCATTGCTCTGCCAAACTAATATGACAGACAGCTCTACTAGTATAATTTACCAAACTTCTAGGAAGTCTGTTACTATAAAGCCAGAGTCAAAGAACACGTAACTAGTTTCTAGTAGAAATGCTTAATTCTTTATGTCACGTCTCACAACGAAGATCCATGTTTTCCTAGCAGCAAAGCATCATCAGCTTGCATTTGAGAGTCAGTACCTTCAATATAAGTAGACCCTCTGGAGCAACTGAAATCACTCTTACAACCTTTAAATTCTTAATTCTCATGAAACCCCCGGATGTTGAAATAATGTTGTGCCTCAAGGAGGATAGGGAGAAGTGAGAGGCAGACAACTCCTCTGACATCAGCTATCCTTCTCAAAAAAGCCTTTTTCCATACATTTTTAAGAAATGCAAAAAGCATAAGTCAACTTTCTTCTGTAGATCAAGTGCTACAACACAAATGGGAAAAACTAATCCATATTAGTTGAGGAGGACTGAAAGAAATCTATTTACAAGTGCCATACCACTTCTCATGTGCCATTTTTTCTGTAAGATGTTTCTTGCCTTGTTAAGTAACTCTGCAGTACTGTAAAGTTCACTTAAGATCAGGATTAAAAAGAATAGATTTTCATGCTGGGCAATGGCTCATCTTGGATCCAGCAGACAAGGCTGGAAATTCTTTACTTAGGGAGAATGGAGGGGAGCTCAGGTGGATGAAGCTGGGACAGCTTCCTTCAGATCAGGAACATACTACAAATCTCCACCTTCCCAAAGAACAAATTTCATATAGATATGTCTTAAAAGAACATAACAGAACTAAAGTTCATGCCTCCTTTTTTATATCAGTTTCAAACCAAGTATTTTTCTGTTTTCTCAGAAACAACACTGAACCAACTTTAGAAAGGTCCAAGTGGAAAAGTTATCATAAAAAAACCTTAAGACCTCTTCCCTTACCATGAAGCCTGGAAAGGACTTGTAGATTGACCTCACAACTCAGTTTCTAGAAGAACATTTAGGTGACCTTTTTAAAAATACATTATTTCAGTTGATACTGAAAGTTTATTCTAAACTGTCCTAGTTCTTGCTTGGTTGCTATTCACCAACACTCATGGAGGGGAAGGGGGAAGAGGTAGGAAAAATTTCCACGTAACGGGAAAGCAGTGTCTTGCATCTAACAAATGAAAAAAATCCTCACATCGAACAACTTTGCACTTACCACATCTTTAATATATCCAGTGCCTCATGTCAATTCTGCTGCCAATAACAAGTATGGTCATAAGTAAAAGAAGTACTAGGAGGGTACCTAGACACTATTCAAGAGGATATAGAGCAGACTGCTTGCATATAACACACCACTGACTTCTCAAAACTCAAAATAACCCAAATAAATATCTTGCTGTCAACTTACTCTTAGTGTAGCAAGTCTCATCAAGGCAGTCCTGTAGCTGGGCTGCTATTAAGTGTTAGCTGTTTGATGTATTTCAGCGTGAAGAACCTTGTAGGTGAAAAACCTGCCTACTGCATAAAAGCTATTATTTAGCTTTTAGGGACCAGGATGAAGAATTTTCTGAATTCCTAATTCTGGCCCGGCTGGACTAAGTGGTCAAGATGGGAAATAAGGGAAAAGAGGGGCAACACAAAAGACACTCCCGTACTCAAAACAGCCCGTCTCTTACGTCAGGCACCAGGTCGAGGGAGTGGAGGAGAGCAGCGGGACCGGCCCAGTCCCCGGGAGCGGAGCCTCCCGCGCCATCCACCGCCTCTGAGCCAGGCCTGGCTCCCGCACCTCACCGGCAGTCCCGCTCCGGCCTCACCCGCCGCCCCCGGGCTCCCTCAGCCCCGGCCCCGCCGCGCTCGGGCGCGCCCGCCGTGCCGGGAGGGGCCGTGGCGGTCCCGCGGCGGGGGCACGGAGGCCGCCGTCCCTGCGCCGCTTATGGAGCGTCCTCCGGGAGCCGCCGGAGCCGCGGCATGGGGGATGCTGGGACAGCCCGGCCCCCGCACTGACAGAGGGCACGGGGCAGCGGGAATGGGGCACGCAGCGAGCCGCAGCCGGAGGGCGAGGCGGGGGGCCGGTTCCGCCGGGAGGGGACGCGAAGCCCGAGCAGAGCGGGCACCGCGGCGCAGGCCGGCCGCTGCCGGCGGGGCCCGCCACCGCTCGCCGCGGCGAGACGCGCCGTGACCGACCTGTCAGCAGGAGCGTGGTGAGGGCGCTGTGCGGCCACGGCCCCGCCGCGCAGCACCGCATCGCTCCCCGCTCCTCCGCCTGCTGCTGCCGACACCACCGCCGCCGCATCCTCTATGCCGCCAAATACCGCTACTCCTGCTGCCGCTGCCACCGCCGCTGCCACCGCCGCCGCCTCGCCCCGCGGCGGCCGCAGCATCCTCCCCTTCCCGCCCCGCTCCTCCCCGCCCCGCCCCGGCAGCCGTCTCTAGGCAGCGCGGCCGGGAAATGCCGGGCATGCCGGGAGGGGCCTGTGGCCGCCATGGCGGGCTGCGCGCGGCGAGCGGAGCTGCTGGGCGCGGGCTGCGCAGGGAGCGGGCTCCGCGGGGCGCGGTTCCCCTCAGGGCGGGGACGGGGACGGGGACTGCTCTGCCCCGCTCCGCGGTGCAGATGTGGCGGGATGAAGCCGTGGTGCGCTGGGTGGAGGGGGCAAGGCGGTGACTGAGGTGCCTCGCCAGCCCAGCCTAGACCCGCGCCTTCCCTTGGAGACCCGGCAGGGGAGGGCGGCATCCCACACCTCACAGGGTGCACACGGATGTCTTGTGCTCTTGGATATCTTTGTGGCGAAAGCCTTTCCAACAGCAGCGTTTTGAACGCCTTACCCCATTATACTGGAGGGGGTCCAGCAGAGGGTCAAAAAGATGATTACGGGTCTGTAGCATCTCTTATGAGAAGAGACTGCAGGACTGAGCGTGTTTAATCTGGAGAAGACTGAGAGGGGGTCTCATCAATGCATACAAACACCTTAAAGGCGGGTGTCAAGCTGATGGTGCCAGGCTCTTCTCAGTCGTGCCCAGCGACAGGATGAGGAGCAATGGCCATAAATTAAAACACAAGAAGGTTTACCTCAGCACAGGGAAGAACTTTACACTGAGGGCAGCAGAGCACTGGAACAGGCTGCATGGTGAGGTGATGGACTCTCCCTCTCTGGAGACGTTCAAAACCCACCTGGACACATTCCTGTGTGACCTACCCTAGGTGATTTTGTCCTGGCAGGAGGTTGGACTGGATGATCTCCAGAGGTCTCTTCCAATTTTAACAATTCTGTGATTCTGTGACACCAGCAGTAGGGCAGGACCGGACCTTGCAGACATGCCTGGTGCACACAGATGTGGCGTGCTCTTGGAGGACATCATGGCAAAAGCCCTTGCAAATGTAGTTTTCTGAACTACTTACCCTATTTTAAGCCTATATCCTTACTCCACACCAAGCTGTTTTGTTTTTCCCAGTGTTCAGCAGCTGTTGGTGCAGCTGGTGGAGTTGTGAGTGGGGTGTCTTGGAGGAGTTGTCATAGCCCCAGCTCCAGGCTCACCTCTGTGTGGAGGCTTGTATCCAATTTCCTGTGTCAGGACTGACCATTCATCCCGTGCTGTCTCAGTTCCACTGTCTGCATTATGCTTTCTGGACTCATTACTGGTTTTTGACTGTCATTTAATGTCTGTGGCATAGCCCAAAAGCTATGGCAGTCTTTGCTGAGCTGTGAAAGCAAATTTTTCTGTGGAGGTTGGAAGAATATTGTCAAATGTAGTTCTTGGCAATGGTGATGTATTTTGAGAGTAGGTGTATGTATATATCATATATAATCGCTTAAGACACAGTGCTATGTAAATACTGCATTTTCTTTTGGGGAGCTACTGTCTCTCAGCTTTCTGAATGATTCATTAAGAGTAGTCCCTGTACTAGAACTACATATTCCACAGTGAAAGCCCCATCTCAAGAAATAGATTACTTTTACTTTTGTTTTCTCATTCTAGTGGACTGTCATGTTTGCTATTTGAAAATTACAGTAAGTCTTCCATTATCCATGAAAATAACCTTTCTTCATTTTACATAGAGAATTTTGATTTCTCATGAAATTTCATAAGCATTTCCACTCTAGCAAGCCAAATGTATTTGCAAAAAAGTAATAATAATTGCATGCTTTTGAGATTTAGAAGAAAGAAATATTATCTGTCTTATTCAAATTGTATTGACCTTATTGAACTCTTTATAAGCCAGGGAAAAAAGACAACTGTAGAAGACTTTACCCTATCCGACTGTAGTCTTGTTACAGCTCTAAATTTCCATTAATCCATCTCATGAAGGGGAACTTTAAATAGCAAGAGGCTCTTCAGTATAAATATTCTGCCTGACATTAAGATGCAAAATACTCTGGTGTTTTAGTCAGCTGGCTCATTATCCTAGATAAAGGACTTTTTTCTTCTCATTCCACAGAGACTTTCAGAATATATTTAAATTTTAATTTGCCTACAAAGATATTTAAGAGCAGAAATCACACTCTTTCCCTTACCTTTGCCTAGAAGTACTCTTCTGTTTCATGGCACTTTATGATTTTGAGTAGGCTTATTTCCTCTCTGAAATTAATGTGATTTTTTTGCTCATTCCCTTATGTGAGTGTAGAAAGCCATAGAGATGCAGCTGTGCCAAAAGAATCTCAGATAGCCAGCTCACCCTATGATAGTAATGTTTAGACTAACAAGTCTATATAATATACTGGTAGCTTTCCAACAATAATTTTTATGCTAGTGAAATGCCTGATTTTTGTAAACGTCTGTACTGTCATCAGCTTATTAATTACCATTTTCTTTCCAATTATTTCATGTTGAAATGTTATATGCTATAAAACAGTCAACACCATTTTAATGTAGTAGCAGCACTGTAGTAATGTTCAGTGCTTTGCCACCTTTGTATAGAACGAAGATTCCATTTATCTAAAACATGTTTGTGAGGTGTCCTGCCTGAGAAGAAAAGGTTATGTGTCATGGATATGGAACGAAGTGCCACAAAAGCCTGCCTTGTCCCCCTGCTTCCTTCCTGGCAGCACTTGTGTGTGAGTGGGTATCTCTGTCTTTTTTGTTAACTGTATCTTGAGGGTCGCAATTCAAAGCACACATCACTGACCCAGCCCTGCCAGACTGACTCACCTGAGAAACTTCAGCTAGTGCAGTGCACTTTAGAATCCTACCCTTACATTCCTAAAATGAACTAATATGGATGCAACAGCTTGCTTAAATCAGCCACCAGTGATTTAATATTGATTAGAAATACTCCCTCTGTAAGTATTTCTTTTTCTGTAATTTAACTGACTGCCTCTATTGAAAGTAATTGAAAGGGCACTGTGATGAGACATTTTTACAGAAATTGTTCTGTATTCCATGTTTACTGCATTTACTTTGGCAAGGAGAAAAGCTGGCTTCTAAGAACTATGATAGTTTTTAGCTAAAACTTCTTAATTCCAGAGTATAAACCCCTCATTTTTCAGGGATGCAGAAGTGACAATTACTGTTTCCCCATGCATTCTGCAGACTTCAAAGGTTTATTTTGTTGTTCAGACACATTAGGAGGCTGATTTCATGCAGAAGGAATACAACCTAATCCATTTGCCTTTCTTTTAGAGCACAGGTTCCTCCAGCTTGATCTTTATAGGTACTGAATGCTTGCAAGTGTTTGGTGGTTTTGGAGATCAGCCCATCTAAACAAAAGAAGAAAGGGCAGTCTTTTTTTTTCTTTCCTTTTTTTAGGCATTCTTCTGAGAAAAATATTTTTATATTGTATATCTTTCAGTAAGGTTAGCAACTAGTATACCAAGTCATTATGTAAGACAAACAGAACAACTTCAACTCTTGTTCCAGTTTGCAAGTCCTGAGGAGTTTATAATACCACCTTTCATTACATTCCAAGGATTCTTATTTCTTTTTGTACTTCTGTCTTTCTAATGTTTACTGGAAGCCTTTTGGCATGTTAATGTAGTAATCTGTGGCTGCAGCACACTATTTGTTTTCATGCAGTATTTAACTAAGTATTTTATATGCAGCACTGCTACAGGATACTATATACAACAAAAAATCCTTTAAAAATTAAGGGGTTAAGTATTTTGGTATGTCAACTGCACCCAACAGATGCTTATTGAAACAAAGCACATTATTCAAAACTTCCAGAGTTGAACAGAAATAGATTTATGAGCTGTGTTTTTAGCTGATTTAGCCCACGTATTTTATCTTTTACTGGAATTTTAAAGAGTAAAGAGGAGCTCAAAAGATCAAATTATGTTATCTACTAGTTATCTCTAGAATATGGCATATATTTTGGGAAATATCATGTGTTTGGAGAAAGAAGGTTATCTATATCCAAATATACAAGTGATAAACAGGAACAAATTTTTAAAAAAAGGAATTTGGAAGAAACAAGAAGTGCACTGTAAGATAAAACAGCCCACAAGTAACTTCAGTTTGCTGAAGCAGCACTTGTATAGCCAGAAGCCCTGTGTGACAGTAACTTTGGCCTTATTTTAGAGGTTATAGTTTCACATGTCTGTGTAGTTCTTGTGGCTTTTAAAACATGCTCTACTGCACCTAAAATACTGGTTCTGGTCAACATTATAGCAAGCTTTACAGTTTTATATGTACAAATAGCCCCTCTCTCCCTCTTCAGGGCACTGTCAGGTAGCAATGAATGAAATCATTTTGAGGTATGCTTTTCTTTTATGAAAAGCTTCCATTTCAAACATATTCACTGGTGTGAGCTGGGTGCTCACCGATGCTCCTACTATAGTAAAAAACCAAAAAACAAAAAGACAAACAAACAAAAAAACCCAAAACACAAAAAAAAAACCAACCAAAAATCATTGACTGTGGTTTCCATCACAATTTTTCCTGTGGGCAAAGCTTTTAGGGAACATGTTGCTTAATAATATTGCTATCTGGGATGCAAACTGCTATTCTAGAAAAAATACAAAAATATCTAGACACTGGTAAGTTTAATTTTTCTTTCCTTGCTCTTTATTGGGAAAAGCTGCAGCCTGTAAAAAGGCACAGAGACTTAATACTGTATATATAATGATTTATCATAGGGAGAAAAATAGTACCAGAAGCATTATCTGAATCTCTTAAAATAAAATATCTGTCTGTAGTACTCAGATTAGCAGGCTTCTTAGTCCAGTATAAGTAGGATGAAATTAATATTTTCCTCACCTTTTCTGTGAGCTCTGCCATTCCTAAACTGCTAGCTTTTAAGTTGGCATAATTTATTGTAAATTCTCCATAGAGAAGTTAGTTTGATGACTAAATTAGTTTAAAATTCTGAACTAATTATTGTGTCTTCATTGTTC